ACTTTTGTCCCCAAATGCACCAGCTGTCCCCAAATGTAGGCATTTTGTCTTAAAATTGCCCCCAAATGTCACCAGAAACAAACAAACAAACAAACAAACAAACAAACAAACAAACAAACAAACAAACAAACAAAGAAACAAACAAACAAAGAAACAAAGAAACAAACAAACAAACAAACAAACAAACAAACAAACAAACAAACAAACAAACAAACAAACAAACACACACATTTGTTCTTGAACCCTGTGGGGACTGTGCATTTACTTCCATTCATTTTTTTAGCCTTTATAGCCTAACCCTGACTATATACCCTAAAATTAACCTCACAGGTACTTCACCCTAAAACTAACCTAAACCTTGGTCCTAAATCTAACCCCCCACCCAGTGTTGCCCGATAGGGCTGGTTTCTGCCCAATTGGACTGCTTTCGAACAAGCTGGGCTGGAAAAAACAGCTTTTGGCGGGTTGTTTAAAATTTGGGCTGCTTTTTACCACATTTGGTGGGTTTTTAGAGTTTCTTAAGGAAATTATATCAAAAATATCAAGTGTCACTACGAAATGGTATTGGTTAATATCAACTGTAAACTCATCAAATACAGAAGAGACTGTGTTTCTGAGATTCTGAGAACCTACCCCCTCCTTCTGCAAAACAATCCGAGGGTTATCAGTTGACTTTTTTATTTACTGGAATATTGGAATATTTACCGAGTGTCAGGTTTCCAATTAAAGCACTGCTAGCACATACAGACCACTATACCTTGATCATATTCTTCTAATCCTGTTTGGATTTTTTTAAATATAGGTCATTTAGCAGCCACGGATCTTGGTCTACTAAGAAAACATGTTTTTTTTATAAACAACTAAATAAATAAAAAAATAGACAATCTGCACAGAAGCCTGAGCTGCTACCTCAGCTTGTGGTGCTAGACCCTGTCAAAATGTTACTTTATTCAAAAGAAATTCAACTTTATGGGAAGATACAGGACAGAGATGCTAATGTAGCACCTCTGCTGGCATGCAGTCAGACGATGTGCCAATGTAGCTCTCTAGCATAGCATGTGTGGATAATTGCACTAATTAAGCATTTAACATATTAACTAATATATTAACTTCTCCTAACTAAACATATTAAGACAGATATTTCACTTACCGCTCCCCTGTCATTGCCAGAAGTCATGACGAAAGTTCTCAACTGTTTACTGCTTCAAGTTCACAGGGATGTTGCGTTGTTTGAATTATTGGGATTGGCTTGTAAGGGAATCCTCTCCTCACGTTGGGAAAGCTCTTATGATTGGATGAATAAAAGGAAGCTTTGTGATTGGTTGGAGATCATTTCTTGATGAAAAAGAGGTAAGTGTGGGTTGAGCCACATCAGGGGAGTCTTAAAATGCACACACAAATGCAGAGAAGGCCACAGAGAGGCAGCTCTTTGTAAATAAAGAAATATTTGTGTGTACAGTAGAAATTCATGTTTGAATCTATTCTTGTGCACACGTGAACTGTTATGTGCACATAGGAATCTGGTCCTGTGCATTTGTAAATTTTGTACTGTGCATGTTTGAATACTTTTGTGCACATGTGAAACTTCCTGTGAACGTGTGAAACGTTTGATGCATGCATGAATCATCTGTGCACATGTGAACCATTCTGTGCATGCATGTATTGTTTTCTGTGCACGCACAAATTTTTCTGTGCACGTGTGAAGATATTGAAACCCATCTAGCTCCACACACCACAGCTAACTTTACAAGTATATTTCAGTCATTTTTTGACTTACTGGGATTAAATTTGTTATGGAGTAGGTAAGAATGATCATTTGCAGATTACTGATGCTAATCTCAAGCTAACAAATAATGCTAATGCTAGTTTTACAAAGGGCTATAATTCAGCCATTTTCAAAAAATACACAGCTGAAATATATAGCGCAGTAGTTTCAGGGAGCACTATTAACAAAATCTAAATGCAAAAACAAAATCCAAGTTCCCCACACACTTGTCAGTTTTTCTGGGGTGGACAATCAGGCGGTAGGGCACTTGCCACCCCAGACAACCCTCTGGCTCCGCCCCTGTAAAGTCATGTTCAAGATTTAACCAGATGTCATCATTTCTCAACATCAGAAGTCTGAATCTAAATGAAGGCACAGGTATTATAAAGTGCTTTAATCATTGTCAGGGTGAATCTGGGTCACTAACTATTYACTATTCTGCKAGKAGATGGTGGAAGAGAGAAATAAWTAAAACAACATTTTTAAAAGACAGGAAGAAAACCAGTCTATAATTTAATATTTATGTCACAAAACATAGATTTGACTGATCTCTTTGTAATGTTTATTTTACATGTTAGCACATTGAACACCTTCTTTTAAGACTGATCATATTGAAATAAATGGAAAAAATATAATTTACTGGACAATTTCATAAAAAACTAAATAATATGGTTTGACAGTGGAAACATTGCAGTAGCTCAATGATCAGTTTAAGCCCAGGTTGTGTGTAATAATTGCATCTGGTGTGTAATAATTGCACAAATCTTACTTTGCGTGCTGTGGTGACGCACGCAAAGTAAAGGGGGGGGGGGGGGGGCTGACAAAAACAACTAGACAAAGCTGCATTTTCAAATTACAGAGATTATAACAGAGAGCTCTTTGCTCTTCATGTGATTTCTTTCCATATTTTTCCAAAGAAAAAGATTAAAAAGCAACACATTTTTATCATGATTTTACTCAAGTAATAATGCATGAATAATGCAATGAACTTTCTTATTTTCTAACAAGGGATACATTTAGTTTTAACATGCTTCATGACTCTCAGAAGTGTTCTTCTTCTACCACCTGCAGCTCATGTTTGGACAGATGTTGAACCACACCAACACCGATGCAGTCACCCAGCACGTTGGTGACGGTCCTCAGACGATCCCTGTATCGACACATGCTTTCTGAGTACAGCTTAACAGATTTACAGGTGAAATTCAATTAAACCTAAAGAATTTAAAGCTACACCGACGGGCCTGGATTAGACAAATTGAGTATAATTGTACGAAACGTGTTCATGGGACTCGAATCAGATGCAGGAAACTGGTCCCGTACTCAGTCTTGAAAGTTTATTTACACACATATAAAGTTCTTCCCCAGCTTTGTATCTGTATCAACGCAATCTTACTTCCTACTGAGTTATAAATACAATCACTGAAACTAAATAGAGGCTTGTTAATTCACTAACTGTTAAAGTAAATCACTAAAACTGATCACAATGTCACAAAATGTTCTTCATACTCACAGAATCCAATCAACAATCAGGAGCAGAGATATGTCTTCAGTGGGCAGTCCGGTTGACGTCAACACAATCATCATGGAAACAAAGCCAGCCTGTGGGATGCCTGCTGCACCAGTGCTGGCTGCTGTAACAACCAAACTGGGCAAAGAAAATAATAATTCATCTCTAACTAACAAATGAAGTAAAATTCTGCGTCATGCTCCTTAAAAGAACACAGCTTACCTGTGGCCTGTAATGTTCGTTAACAGTCAAATGTTTTAAACTGAAGTAAGTACCTGAGGATAATGATTTGTCCAAAGTCAAAGTCCAGGTCATGAATCTGGGCTATGAATAAAGCAGCTACTGCTTCATACAGAGCAGAACCATCCATGTTCACGGTGGCACCCATCGGGAGCATGAAGCGCGTCACGTGTTTGTCCATGTTGTGGTTCTGCTCCATGCAGTGAAGAGTGACGGGCAAGGTTGCAGAACTGTTTAAAAAAAAGACACAAAAGTTGTTTTATTTTGTTAATTTTTTTTAGATTCCCATTAATTAGTCACGAGGTTATGATTCTTTATGTTTCTGATTTTACCTGGACGAGGTGCCAAACGCTGTGGTGAGAGCCTGAAGGATCCCTGCAAAAAACCTCAGAGGATTCTTTCGTGTCACTACAAAGTAGATGAGCGGCAGCGAGATGAAGCTGTGGATGGTCAAGCCGGTGATCACAGTCACAGCATACATGGTAACTTCATGAGCTACATTTGATGTGTCCGTCATCTTCAGAATCTGTCCCGTCAGCAGGAAGAGGAATCCAACTGGAGAATACCTGTCAAAGGAAAAGGTGAAATGCATTATGGGAGATGTGATGAGCTGTAGGGAAAAGTAAAAGCTCACAAAAAACAACTTTATTAAAAAAAAACAAAGCGACAGTTGGACAAGGTCAAGCATTTCATGAAGAAATGCATATCATGCATTGTAGACTAAGATCAAATAAAAATGTTCATCCAAAGATTTCCTTTTGCAAGTTTCCTTATAATCTATTGAGTGATTCAGGCTTGTGAACACACACACAGATGTGGACAAAGAAAACATTACTACCCAATAAACATTAAGATTAGGTTAGATTACATAAAACTTTATTGTCCCCATGGGGCAATTTGCTTTGAAGACAAAAAAATACAATATTTTAAAATTTAAAAAATAAAAATACAGATACAGATAAGCCCTTCTTACCAGATGACTATCTTAACCAGAAGCATAATGGCTTCATTCAGACAGGTAAAGAAATCCCTGACAGGTTTTCCCTTTGGCCCCATACTGCTCAGGATGAGGCCAAACGCGATGGAGAAGACCAGCAGACCCAAAATGTTGATGCCATCTGAGGTTCCTGCCACGGGTTCTGACCAGAGATTAAATCAAATCTGATTAGAAGTGAACTATTAATACCACTGCACATAAAGAACTACAAAAAACTCACTGTTTGACGATGCATTCAAGACATCTGGAGGATTTTCTAAAGAATCCAAAACTGTTTTATACTGATTATGAAAACAATAAATAAAAAATACAACAAAATGTTAGTAAATGGTGACCAAAATATGACAATTGGAGCAAAAATAAATTTAATTAAATAAAAATCAATCTTACTTTTCTGAAACAAGCTTCCACTAGATTTGATGGGAACATGTTTCTGAAAAACAGCACACTCATAAAATAAGCTTATAAAATGTAGCATTCTGTGTTCTGGAAATGATTTTTATTCACACCTGATGAGGTCGAGGAAAGCGTCCACACTCTGCACACCCTCTGCTTTTCCACCAGAGGGCTCTGATGCTTGTCCTGATTTCCCAGGCTTGATGGAAACAACCAGAGCTATACCYGTGAAGGCAGCAGTAACAGTGGTGATCATGTAGTAGCTGAGGGCCCGAAGTCCAATTCTCCCATAAGCCTTTATATCAACACTTGACATGCCTGCAGTTCAAAGACATAATATTTTTAAAAACCTTCCATTGTAGGGTGTTAGTAGCAGGAGAGAAACAGAAATGGAGATAACTATTTCTGTCCTACTTTTGGCAAGTTGTTGGGGGGCACCAGACCAAGTTATTGACCAATATTTATTTCCTCTTTTTAATCAGACTTGTAGGGTTCACCTACCTTCTTCTAAAAAAGTTACAAGTATTTTATTTTAGCAAGGATCACTTTATTTTCGGTAATATCTTCTTTGTACAAAAATGTATGGATAAAACACACAATATGAGCGTACTCAGTGAGTTTAAGTTGATCTAAAATAAAGAAGATCATTTATTTATTTACAGAATCAAATAAATCACTAATGTACAGCTTGTGAGATTAATTTCCTATAAAAATTTAACAACAAACTCTCAGGTTTAGATGTTAATAATAAACCATTTGTTTGTGGCACTTTTCTTAAGTTTTGATAGGGCATTAGTTTAAGAGGGAAGAAAGGAGGAGGATTGTTAGTTAGTTTTAATTTAACCTTTAAGGAATGTGGATTTTAACCAGAAAGGCAGACGTCTCTTAACGAATTCAGCCAAGACCTCAGATACGCTCAAGAACGATAGCCTTTACCTTGACCAGGGATCAACACCAAGGCTCAAGTTGGAGGAAAGGTTGTCCAACTAGTGAATAACTTCTTGGAACCTTGTCGGTCGGACACTTTTGAGGCATTTTGTGTTACTCCTTCAGCGTCTTCTCTGGGCTGCTGCTAATTGAAGATCAGAGACGAGGCACTTTCGGTATCCATCTCAAAAATAGAAAACTTCTGCTCAGAAGTTTCAAAACAAAAGTTTCTCTGTGAACTTTGGAAAAATAGACGAGACCGAGTGATGATCTGGTCAGGTTGGTTGTCCTCGGAGCCAGCCGCGCTCTTGTGAAGTATTAGAGTGTTCGCTTTTCAGCTCAATTTCACAGACTGACTGACTGTGTTAGTTAGAGATGTTAGTTTTAAAAGAGAGGAAGTGATATTGAGCACTGCCAGGTGCTGTTTGTCTTAAACAAAAATGTTGACCTCTGCGCATGTCGTACAGTCTGTTCTGACCTGCCCTTCTGCTGAGAGCACTTTAAAGAATAAAAGAATGAGTTACTGAAAACTTGAAAAAAAAACGAATTATTTCATACAGAACATTCATTATAATGATTCAGATAAAGTAATCATAAAATGTTTCAAACTGAAGCTTAACTATAATGCAAAGTTTAGTTAAGTAAAATATTTAAACTTAAAAATCTATAATCAATTACTGTGGTTTCACAGTTAAAGTTCAGGTAGTGATTTACATCAAAGCACAAGAAAACATTGTAATAACATTCTTTTTGTGTGTTCTTTTTAACACATTGGTAAAATTATGAATAAAAGAAGATTATTCTGTTTATTGTCAGATTAGTAATGAGAAAATGTCTCTTTATTGTTTAAGAAAACATGTTACGACTTTAAATAAACAGAGTTCTGTCTCTTTAAAGGAGGCGTTCTGTGACCAAGGTCAAAGACAGGTGGAACTGATTATTCCACCCTTAGGTGACCACTATATTTACCAAAATGTGAGATTGTATGATATGCAGGGAATACTTATCTCAGGCCAAAAATACTCAAAGATGAGGAACCAGCTTTGTCTTCCATGGTAATTTATTACAAAAATTGAATCATGAATAAAACAGTAAAAATAACAACATGAAAGATGAAGCACAAGGTTTATAAAATAGTTAAAGGTGAAAATTATTGTAGACCTGATGTTATACGTCTAAATTAAGATAGGGTCTGGATGTTTAAACATTTATAGAATGAAAGTTTTCTTCTATTAATTAATTGACAAGATAAGTTTTTGTCAGTTTGTAGAGGAGATGTTAAGATTTTGTCAAATTAAATATTAGTAATTGTTAATCAAAAGAATAATATCAAAGTTGCCTCAGTTGTTTAGGGTTTGCTCTGCAAACACTTTATGTGTAACACCTTAACTTAGGTACAGTTTGTCAGCTCACCAAATTTGGAGACATCCAGCTGTCTCATTGGTGTTAAGATTAATGTAAGTTCAGAAATCATCATTTGCAGTATATAATATTGCTTTTTCAGAACAAAGTTAATTTATTTAGGAGATACGACCGGTGGTGATCAAGGGGTCATGTCAGGGGTCAGCATCATTCATGCTACATTAAGTTATAGTTTTAGTCCAATTTTCTTGTTTTGTTTTATTTTTCCAAAGGTTTTTTGCATTCTAACTTCTGCATACAAACCTAATTCCGGGGAAGTTGAATACACTTGTAGTGTCTAAAAGTGTAGGCCTCTTCTCAGGAATGCACAGATGTACTATGTCTCTCTTAGAGCCCAGCTTCAGAACTCGGCACATGTTACCATATTAGGAAAGGAATGCTTAAAGTATACCGTGACAAAATTTATGGTGCATCTATTGGACTGCACTGTGAAACCTATAAAAAGACTTGTACGCCCCTACTCTTCGCCTTCGTCTTCATCTTTTTACCTGGTGATTCATTTGGCTTAGAAGGCCACAATTAGGTTTTTGGCTGTAAATCTCCTGGACTGCAAAATAAAGATTTTTGCTGTTCAACCAGCCTGTTTCAGAGTTTCTCTCTTCAGGAGCAGCAGCAGTTTGCAGAACCGAGAAGACTCGGTTTTTACACCTCATTTAATGGCGTCACGAGACAGAGGTTCTATACTCCAGCAGACACCACCGTCGCACTGAACCGTTTTCTGCAAGCCGGCTAAAAGGGTGAGTCATTTTTCACCAGACAGAGAGCACTTCAGTGGATGATGTTGGTGTTGGATGGGGTTTGACCTAAAGTTTCTGTTCGGGGYTTCTGTGGACTGTTTTGTTGCTCTGATGAGATCTCTGTGTAAATTCTAAATTTTTGTGGAACTATTTTTGCAATGTTCCATTGGTTTAGTCTACATTAAGTAGGGTTTTCTCTCTGAGGAAAGATGGCAGGGTTCTTGGTGACTGTTGATAATGTGATTTGACTCTTCACCTCAGCTGTGACCTTTATCAGTGTGTGTATGCAGGCATTTGTGTGACATAAGTCATTGGTTTAGTTGCCGGTGAAAATTTGGGGTCTACAGAGAAAATACAGCTGTTTATTCTTGTTTTTGGTTTATGAAGTTAATGCATGCGGGAAGATGAGAATCCATGACAGGGAGGTTGAAAGGGCTATGATTGATGTTTTATGTTTTGCCGAGCCAGCGCGTGGTATTTCATGGCTATCGGAAATTACCTGTAATTCGCTCAAGAGTAAAATGTATGCATTTAATTTATAGCCCTGTTGAAATTTAGATAAAGTTGAAGCTAGGACTGATTTGGAATTTTGCAACTCGGCTGTTCATGTGGAATTTTGACTGCAGTTTTTATTTTTATTTTTATATTTTATTTTTTGGTTGCTCCATAGAGTTGAGCCTGCCATGAAGTTTGGGAGATAGGCAGAGCTCTGTGTGCACGTGGGGGTTATGCGTCTGTGATTTACGGTTCAGCTGCAGCTCTTGGTTGAAAAAGAAAAAGAAAAAAAAGGAAGAGCTGCCGTGTGCTTGGATGAGACATTTCTGTCCGCTTGTGTGTACAATGGTATTTGTGTGTCTGTTCAGAGCGGGACTCTGTTGTTTGTCTGAAGTACAT